GGAGGCCGGTGGCTAGGAGCCCAATGGCTGAGATGTTGTTATTTACGCCAAGCGAATCTTGTCGATATTCGCCCTTTGCGCCATCCGTCGACTCGGCATCGACCGCCACTCCTGCCAACAACCCAGGCCCGATTTGCCATACCTCGGGACAAGACAATAGTACCCAGAAGTGCTAGACCGCGTCAGCGAGCAAATGATACCGGCGATCATGAAGCCCAGATCCTACCACGTAGCGTTTTGGCCTCGAGTTCCGGCACCGTCGCACGCTTCCAGACAATCCTGGTCAGCCGGCGCACCGAGCCAACCAGCGTGTCGCGCGCCGTCATGTGTATGCCGCCAACCTGAGAACTGCTCGGGTTATTATGCCCTGCTCCAGACCCCGTGTAAGGAGTAACAGCCCCCAAGGTCTTGCTGTTTGCTTTTTCTCCAGCGGCCGACGCCAGCTCATGGCTAGAAGATTCGAAAGGAGCGCATCTGCTCACGCCCTCGGTCTTTGCACTTGATTGGGGAGTGGACGAATAAGTTTGTGTATCAGGGTCAGTGCTACCTGCACTCGAAACCGGTAAAGAAGGGGTAGGCGGAGGGCAGGACCCCTTGATGGAGGTAGTGAGGTGGTACCTAGGTAGAGCCAGGGTGATTGTGATAAGTTATTAGTGGAAAAAAAAAAAACACAGAGAGAAGAAGACGAAAAGGAGACACCATGTTGAAATCAACAGCTGAGTGCAAGTCATTGCAACATGGTCCCTACGGCATCGCGCTGTCCAATGGGCGCAGGAGGGCGACATCTTCGGGAGCAGTTGCAGCTAGGGCTTCAAGCTCGCTCTGTAGCGCCGCCGCCGCCAAACCGCATGCTCGATTCATCCCACCCCGGATGCTGCCAGAAACCGAGCACGTCGCCCCACCGCCAGTGCGTCTTACAGAGGCTGCTGCTCACCGTCTGGTCTCAATTGAATTGACCAGCGCCCGCCCGCCAGCCAACCCTGCCCTACCATCCCGAAACGCCGACCGATCGAGCCTCGTCCGGTTCCACGCTTTAGCCCAAGCCCCATCACCTGTCGTGTCTGCCGTGCCTGCCTTGTCGCCCTCCAGTTTGGTCTCCCTGCTTTGCCTGGCGCCTTGCCGTGTTCTCGCTCTTGCCCTCCTCAGAGCAATGACCTGAGCCCGAACTTGCCTCGCCCTCTCGACGCCCATGGATTTGTCCATCGCGGCCCGTGCCTGGTGACAATGACCAGGAATGACGCCCTGTCCCGATTCAGCTCAGTGACGAGCACCTCCACCGACAGCGCGCGGTCCACGGCCACCGTCAAACCCTTGCCCTCCACGCCCGCCGCCGCTGGCGATGGCCACCCCGACTCCCACGCTAACAGCTTGAGACGGGCGGCCCCGGCGCGCCTAAAGACCGACGACGGCTCCGACCCCAGCCGGTGAGTTTACCTTGCGGGCTTGGCCCGTTGTTGCTTACATATTTCATGTTCTTTTGCCTTCTGCCCGTCTTGGATGCTGTGTCGTGTTTCGATTGCCCAAGCTCTGGACCCCGTCGGCTCTCCCGTGCGCACGTTTTCTTCTTATTATTCTTGTTCCATTTCGCGCTTTTGCCTCCGACCCCGTCCTTCGGCAGCCCCGTCTAGCCCTGGAGCGAGCGCCACCTCGTGTCCTTGAACCCTGGTCTTTGCTGTGGGGACGGCAACGCCCTCAACGGCCGGGCACAGCAAACCGCTCCTCCCTGCTGCTTCTTTCCCCGGGCACAGCGAACCGCTCCTCCCTGCTGCTTCCTTTCCCCATGCGCCGCTTCAGCCAGATGCCAGGCGACCCATCGCTGCATGCAACCCTCGCCGCGTCGCGGCTCTGCAGCTATATCTGGACGCCAATCTGATATCGCTCTCGAATCCGGGGCTGCGCTAACCGGCTTGTCATCGAACCCGCCGCGTCTTTCTGCTGGCTCAGAAACCCGTCCAAAGAAGAATCACAGGTGTCCCCGACCTCGACCGGAACGCGCCTCGCTCTGTCGCCGTCATCGACCGCCTCCAATGCCTCATCCTTCCGCGAGCACCGAATGAGCGACTTCGCCAACTACCGCAGGGATCTGGCCGTGCTGGACCCTGGGGGCTCTCGCGCCCCCCAGATCCAGCACAACCCACCGCCCTCTGCCGGCCAGGGCGCGAGCCAGATCTCCCCGTGGATGTCGTCCAACGGCGCCAACCAGGGCGGTGGCCCCGGCGCCATCGCCCTCCAGACCACCTTTTACAACGACTCGAGCGACAACCTGTCGGTCATGTCCCAGCTGTCGCCCGGCTTCCGCCCGCCCGGCCGTCCCTCCATCTCGCAACCCTCTGGCCACGGCACCGATGGGCTCGACGGCTCCTACTTCAACGACGAGCGCCGCCCTTCCATCGCGAGCATCACCACCACGGCGAGTAGCCAGGGCTCCAAGGCCAGTGGGAATCGGGGCGGCTTCCGAAAGCTGCAGGGCTTCTTTGGAGAAGAGTTTCCTGGCCGAGACTCATCCGAGACGAGCCTCCCTAACGCTTCGGGGAAGGACCGCTCCCACTCATACAGCCGACCGTACCGCGACCGAAACTACTCCAACGCTACCGACCACACCAGGGACGCATCCCCTTCGTCGTCGCGACCACGGACGCCAGTGCCCGCACCCGAGGTGGTGCCTTTTCTATACCAGGAAGCCGATGTGCGTCACCTTTCCCCCCCCAATATACCATCTCCTTGTGGACATGCGTATCCCTTCCCCTTCCCCATACCTGCCCAGCGTCCGATATAGGTCCCCCCTCCCATGCGTGGGTTCCGCCCCTTGCTGTTTAATCTGCCCGTTCTTCATGCTTTGTCTTTGCTTACCTACCCCGGACATCGATGCCCACTTCCACCTCGCTTGTTTGCCGTTCATCGGCCGCCAAGTAGGAGATATCGAAGAATTATTCTGACTCGCGCAGGACATCGCAAAATACGGTGAAGCCCCTGTCCGGGATATCCTGTCTGGCCCTGACCGCGAACGTTACGTGACGGGCGATTCGTCTCAGGCCCCACCAAAAACCTCGTCGTCGGCTCGCTCTGGCCATTCAATCGTGCACCTTCACGGCCATCACAGACACAACAAGAGCAATGAAGACTCGAGGGCATTGCGCCCCACCATAAGCCGAGAGGACTCCGGCGTACCTGGCTACAAGGACCGCAGCGGATCGACGACGATGGCCTCGTCAAGGTCCCGGGCCCAGAGCCCGGCGCCCAGCGGCCACAGCACCACCGGCTACTTCGCAGCCTCCAAGAGCGGCTACGATGGTCAGACGTCGCCACCCGGCCAGCCTAAGAAGAGCATATTCGGGCGCCTCAAGAGGAGTAAGGAGAAGGACGACACGAGCTCGCTCAAGAAGATGTCACCCTCGACCACATCCCTCACAAGGAGGCCCTCGCGCCAGGAGTTCCCTGGCAGGCCAGAGGGTATCACAACCATCCCCCCGGAGTGGAATGGTCAGCTTCCCGAACCGCCGCTCAACGAGTCGCCCGTCTACAGCCAAGGGAAGCCGGGCTATCCTCGCCACGCGGCCTTCAAGTCCCCGTTCGTAAAAAAAGGGCGCTCCAACCGGTACGACGAACGCGACGATGCCATCGGGCCGACGGACCGACAGGAGGGACAAGGTGGCCCGGGCACCGTGTTCCATCTTGATACGAACCTTAGCGATATGGACGGGATTCTGAGCAGGCCCCTGCCGTTGACCCCGATGGATGCCGATTTCGTCCAAGCGGTCAAGGCCGGGAGGCTACAGGCGCCCATGCAACGGAACGGCCGGAATGGCGTGTGGGATGCACCCGACAGCTGGGCCGTCAAACGCTCCGCCGAAGAGACGGCGCACCACTTCCCCGAAAACGACGACATAGAAAGCCCGCCAAAGCCGGAGGAGAAGCTGACCCAATACTGCATCCGCGTCTTCAAGTCGGACGGCACTTTTGCGACCCTGCAGATGCCTCTCGACTCGTCGGCCCAGGACCTTGTTGGCCAGCTGTCTAAGAAGTCATACGTCACCGGGGGCCTCGAGTACCACATCGCGCTGAAAAAGCACGGTCTCGTTCGCGTTCTGGGCTCGGCGGAGCGCCCGCTTCTTCTGCAGAAGCGGCTGCTGCAACAGGTCGGCTACGAGGAACGAGACAGGCTCGAGGACATCGGGCGCGAGGACAACAGCTACCTCTGCCGCTTTCTTTTCGTGTCGTCGAGGGAGCTGGAGCCCGAGGCGCGCACTCAGGATCTTGGTCTAGTGGGTCGCAACCAGAAGTTCACCCACGTCGATCTGTCCGGGCGCAACATCATCCGGATACCTATATCTCTCTACTCCAAGGTGACCGAGATCATCTCGCTCAACCTCTCTAAAAACCTGTCGCTGGACCTTCCCCGAGACTTTATCCAATCTTGCCAGAATCTGCGTGACATCAAGTTCGTCAACAACGAGGCCAGGAAACTCCCCGCCAGCCTCGGGCGCGCAAGCAGGCTCACGTACCTCGACGTGTCCAACAACCGAGTCGAACATCTGGATCACGCCGAGCTAAACAACCTAACGGGGCTGCTGAAGCTCAACTTGGCGAACAACAGGCTCAAGCGCCTGCCTCCCTACTTTGGAGCCTACCGATCCCTCCGCACGCTCAACGTGTCGTCCAACTTCCTCGAGAAGTTCCCATCGTTTCTGTGCGATCTCGAGAGCCTGGTGGATCTTGACCTCAGCTTCAACCTGATTGGGACGTTCCCACCGTGCATCCATAATCTGAGGAATCTCGAGAAGTTTGTCATCACCAACAATAGGCTGAGCGGGACACTGCCCGAGGGCTTTCACCGGCTTGAGAACCTCAGGGAGCTGGACATCAAGTACAATGCGATATCGGGAATCGACATTATCTCACAGCTCCCAAAGCTCGAGATTCTCACGGCCGACCACAACGCCATCTCCCAGTTCGTCGGTTCTTTCGACAGGATAAGGAGCCTGAAGCTCAAAGACAACCCCATCACCCGCTTTGAGCTGACGGCGACGGTGCCGACGCTCAAGTTGCTCAACTTGTCCAATGCCAAGCTCGCCAGTGTCGCCGATTCGTTCAACTACATGATCAATCTGGAGAGGCTGGTCCTGGACCGGAACCACTTCGTCTCCTTGCCTGGTCAGATCGGGAAGCTTCGCCGCCTGGAGCACTTCAGCATCGCACACAACGCGCTTGCGGAGCTCCCGCCAGAGACGGGGTGTCTTCAGGAACTCAAGTTCCTTGACGTCCGTGGCAACAACCTAAAGAAGCTACCCATGGAGATTTGGTGGGCAAACAAGTTGGAGACACTCAACGCCTCCTCCAACGTCATGACAGACTTCCCGAAGCCCGCATCGCGAGCCCCGCCGGCGCCTGCCGATCTGAACGGGAAGCCCGGGCTGAGCGGCAACCTGTCGGCCAAGCCGAGTATGGAGGACATGGACTCGGACGGTTCGCGGAGACCCAGCCAGACACCGTCGGCGAGCACGCTCCTTAGCGTGGGGCCGTCACCGGTGCCCGGGGGCCCCGATCGCAAGAGCTCCGTGGTTTCGGTTTATGGCAAGGGCGGCAGGAAGACGTCTGTTGTTTCCAGGAGTGCCAACTCCAGCTCGACCACCATGCCCCAAGTGCCTAGCACGAGAAAGGACTCTGGCTTGTCGGCGCGCATTACTAACACGTTCTCCGGCTCGCTCCGGAACCTGCTCGTTGCCGACAACCAGCTAGACGACGACGTTTTCGACCAGATAATACTCTTGGGCGAGCTCCGCGTGCTCAACCTGTCCTACAATCAGATCAGCGATATGCCCCAGCGATGCATAAAAAGCTGGCCGCAGCTAGCCGAGCTGTACCTGTCCGGAAACGAGCTCACGACGCTACCGGTGGACGACCTGGAAGAGTACAGCCTGCTGCAGGTGCTTCACATCAACAACAATAAGTTCACCAACCTGCCTGCAGACATCTCGAGGGCCAAGAAGCTGGCGGTCCTCGACTGCGGCAGTAACTACCTCAAATACAACATATCGAATGTGCCCTACGACTGGAACTGGAACCTCAACCCGAATCTGAGGTATCTGAACCTGTCCGGAAACAGGAGGCTAGAGATCAAGCAGACGGCATATAGCAATACCTCGTCCAACAGGGAGCAGTACGCGGATTTCAGTCGGCTCCAGAACCTCAGGGTGCTGGGCCTCATGGATGTCACACTCACGCAGCCTAGCATCCCGGACCAGAGCGAGGACCGTCGTGTGCGAACGTCGGGCTCGCTGGCCGGATATCTTCCATATGCCATGGCTGATACGCTGGGGAGAAACGAGCATCTTTCCACCATTGACCTCGTGGTGCCGAGGTTCAACTCGTCTAACACCGAGACTTTGCTCGGGCTGTTCGACGGACAGGCTCTCTCCAGTGGCGGCTCTAAGATAGCCAAGTATCTACACGAGAACTTTGGGCACATTCTGGCCCACGAGTTGAGAGACCTCGCCGAGAAGCGCCCCAACGACACTCCTGAAGACGCGCTGCGCCGGGCCTTCCTCTCGCTCAACAAGGAGCTGGTGACGATCGCGACGCAGAAAAGTGAAGACAGGCCATCGATGGCGCCCCGCACAGCTTCGGCACCCATTGTTCTGAACAAGGAGGATCTCAACTCTGGCGGCGTGGCGACGGTGGCTTATCTGCAAGGGCAAGAGCTCTACGTGGCCAACGTCGGAGACGCGCAGGCAATGATGATCCAGTCAGACGGTACCCACAAGATGCTGACCCGGAAGCATGACCCGGCGGAGCCGACGGAGCGGTCCAGGATCAGGGAGGCCGGAGGATGGGTCTCGCGCAACGGGAAGCTCAACGACCTGCTCGAGGTCTCGAGGGCTTTCGGCTACGCAGACCTGATGCCGGCGGTGCAGGCGGCGCCGCATGTCAGCCACGTGACGGTCAGGGAGCAGGACGACATGATCCTGCTTGCGACGCGCGAGCTGTGGGAGCACCTGGCGCCGGAGCTGGTGGTGGACATTGCCCGGCAGGAGCGCGAAGACCTTATGAGGGCGGCGCAGAGGTTACGCGACCTGGCCATAGCATACGGCAGCACCAACAAGATCATGATTATGATGATCAGCATCGCCGACCTGAAGCGCAGGAACGAGCGGTCGCGGCTGCACCGGGGCCAGAGCATGTCGCTCTACCCGTCGGGCGTGCCCAACGACGCCTACATGTTTCCGCCGCGGCGTGGGCGCAAGGCCAAGGGCGGCGAGGTCATGGACTCGACCCTGCAGCGGCTGGAGACGGAGATTTCGGCACCGACGGGCATGATCGCCATCGTGTTTACCGACATCAAGAACTCGACGAACCTGTGGGAAACGTACCCGCAGGCCATGCGGTCGTCGATCCGGCTGCACAACGAGATGATGCGGCGGCAGCTGCGTCGGATCGGCGGGTTCGAGGTCAAGACGGAAGGCGACGCCTTTATGGTGTCGTTCCCGACGGCGACGTCGGCGCTGCTGTGGTGCTTCGCCGTGCAGATGCAGCTGCTAGAGGTCAACTGGCCCTCCGAGATCATCAACTCGGTCTCGTGCCAGCCGATTCTGGACAAGGATGATAACGTCGTCTTCAAGGGCCTTTCGGTGCGCATGGGCATCCACTGGGGCGAGCCGCTGTGTGAGACGGACCCCATCACGCGACGAATGGACTACTACGGCCCCATGGTGAACAAGGCGTCCCGCATCTCGGCCGTGGCCGACGGCGGTCAGATCACCGTGTCTTCCGACTTCATATCCGAGGTTCAGAGGTGCCTGGAGACGTACCAAGAGGCGCCGGGCGCCGGGAGCGGGAACGCGGCAGATGATGCTGGCGGGCATGGGAGGGGTTCCGAGACCAACGGGTTCGACGACGACACGTTTGCGCACGCGATCCGCAAGGAGCTGCGGTCTCTCAGCAGCCAGGGGTTCGAGGTCAAGGAAATGGGCGAGCGCAAGCTCAAGGGCCTCGAGAACCCGGAGACGATCTACTCGCTGTACCCGCACGCGCTGGCGGGCCGGATCGACACGCACCAGGCGTTCGACCAAAAGCAGATTGCGGCGACGGCGCCGCCGGCGCCTGCCAGAGAAGAGCCTCCCAACAAGCCGGCGGCTCTGAGCCCCGGCTCGGAACTGGCCTTCGATCCCCAGGCGATATGGGCCCTGTGGAAGGTGAGCCTGCGGCTGGAGATGCTCTGCAGCAGCCTCGAGTACGTGGGCGCCAAGAGCCTGCAACCCCCAGAGACGCTATTGATGGAGAGGATGAAGCAGAGAGGTGGCGAGGTCACGGAGAGCTTTGTGGTGAGATTTATGGAACACCAAATCAGCCGTATCGAGGTGAGCTTTCTTTCTCTCTTTCTTTTGTCCCCCCCGCTCTCCCATCTGCGCAACTTGTCGATTACTGTATCTTGAGTGCCGCTAACCTGACGACCGTGCATCATAGACCTGTGTTGCCACCCTCGGCATCAGGCATCTTGCCGCCGGCAGCGGGCCAATCTCGCAGCTCGAAGATCTCCGCGGGCCCATCTCCGATATACTATCCAACGTGGCCAAGCAGCTTGCGGAACTCCAGCAATACAAGGCCCTATACGGCGAGATTGGAGCAGGTGCCTGTGGCAGCAATGCTCAAGTACAATGATGCTCACAGTGCACTTGGTCGACCTCATCCCCATCCACGCACCGCCTCATCGCAAACACGTATACATGAACATCCTCCTGCGTTTCTTTCAGCTGAAGCTCAGCTCATTTGGGCATCATGACTGCTTTGGTCCCGTTCTTTGGGCCTGTCTTATATACCTCAACAGTTGCCTTTTCATCCCCTGTTTACCACTTTTTATTATCTTATTGGCTGGTTGGCTTGCTGTATTCTCTTTTTGGGTATCAGGAGTTGGCTGACGTTGGAAAGAAAAAGCATTTGCCACGTTATAGCGGAGCAGGCGCCTTGCTGTGAGTCTGTACCATCCTGTCTGCTTTCTGGCAGGCAGGTCGCACGTTTTGTAATCCCGGTTGACGTGGGGTGGGTGAATGTTCTTCTGTTTGTCTTTCTCTACCTGGGTCCAGTCGTTTGATCGGGCCTTGCTTCTTTTTGTCACCCAACCTGTTTTATTTGCCTCTCGGCCTGTTTTCCTTCTCATCCTTATTTCTTTCTTCCTTGTATCGCAAACGGCTGGACTGTGTATGACTCTGATGGGCGAAAGTGACTCGGGAAGATTCCCATCCGTTCCTCTAGAGTGGACAAGACGGGGGATGGCGTTTTCATATAATTTACTCGTTTCTTATCCCTCTAGAGACCTCGGAATTTCTTGTGGATTTGGAAGGGACTAAGGGCCATGGCTATGGCATCGTCTTGTCACAGCTCAGCCACCTGGATGGAATGGCAATATCAATAAACTCACAAAAGGGGTGGGACTTGACAGTGCTCTGGCTTGTCTATCAATCACACCGCATACCTACCGACTGCCTCCTCCTACTACTACTACTCTACACATACGTACTCTAATAATCGACATATCACAAACGGGAAATGATGTCTTGCTGTCCAACCGGTGTGTACATGTGTTTTCCTCCCTGAATTGTTTCAAGACCACGACCCCATCCCCATGCACAACCTGCCTACCCAATGGGTATGTGGAACCCAGACTCCCCCAAAGGCTGAGAGAATCAATGGCACCCCCATGCAGCATCTAGCCCAGCCCTCACGCGTAGCGGCCCGGCAGCTGCAGGGGAGGTGGGGTTGGTGGGGAGAGCTTGCCCAGGTCGTGGTTTGCGGGCGGACCAATGGGGGGCGAGCGCATTATCTCTGGCCGGGGTTGGGTTTACGTCAGGCGGTTGATTCAAACAAATCAGTCCAGTGCTTTGCAAACCACCACCACTTCATCCATCCCTAGCTCCCCCTCACGTCATCCCAAACATTTTAGCTCGGAACTTGCACATGGCCAGGCCAGGCAGGCGGGGGTTCCCTTTTGATCTGACAGCTTGTCCCCCGATGAAGCAGCACAACGAACCTCAGCTCGCCTGCGATTCGTCCGACGCCCTCTTGCGCAACACCACCGTCGCTCTGCACATGCCGAGCCCCTGTGCTACTCGACATTGCGCGTTCTCTGGGTTTTGGTGGGCAAATGAAGTCTCGTAATGGAGCCTGGGCAAGTCCCCTACACACACCTGCACACACCTGCACACACCTACATGCACTTCCATATGCAGTCTAGCCCAGGCCGATAGGTAGCTGCGGATCTGCCAGATCTGTTTCTCTAGTACCTACATATATGTACATACTCTACGCGAGGGAGGGTACCCTCATTCGAGGCGTGTAGAATCGGGACGTAGCCCCTCGAACCGCCCAGCTGGGAGGACGGGGGGTCGGCTCTGCTAGGTGGTCTTGGTCCCCCTCGGTGGTTGGTGCCTGATAACGAAACTGGGACCCCATTTCTGTGCTCTCTCTTTTCTTTTTGAGGAACCTGCCGACTTTCAGCCCGGCCTTGCTCCAGTTTTCTTCCGTCTTCCTTTCTTCCTTCTCCTCAAAACCATCCAACGACGTTTCCCTCCCTCTTTTTCTTCTTCCTTCTTTCCCATCCACCATTCGTCGAATACCGGGAATACGTCAAAGAAACCCATTATCAAACGAGATATAACGCACCCGCACGGCTAGCCACATACACTCACCCGACCCTTCGTCACGCCACATCTAGCTGCAATGGCGTCCGCCACGGCGACAGAGCCCATCGTCTCGCACGGGCGCGGCGGCGCGGGCAACATCAACCCGGACGACACGCAGTACGTCGACGGCGAGGTGACGCGCACGGGCGTCGAGGGGAGCCACAACGACGGGGCGTACAGCACCGGGCGCGGAGGTGAGCGAGAGTCTCTTGTTTCTTCTTGTCTACTGCTGTCTTGCACAAGCACGCCATCTGTTGTTATCACCACCACTCGGAGCAGTGGCGCGCGCGTGTGTGCGTGTGTGCGTGCGTGCGTGTGCGCGTGCGTGTGTGTGTGTGTGTGCGTGTTTGCGAGGAGAGAGCTCTCGACGGCTCCGTTTTCCCTCCTTCCTGCCCGGGGAATCCTTGCAACCCAACGTGCGTCCCACCAGGACGGGGCGAGGGTCTTATCTCGAAGCGGGCCGCCGCCCATTTTGAGATTCCCACCCTCTCTCTCTCCGCTCTTTCGTGGTCGTCTCGTCCCCACTCCGCTCACCACCCAACCCGCTATTGAGAAATGTGAAAGGCCGGCTAGCTACTCTAGATAAGACAACGGACCTGGGCTGACAACAGGACACCCCCCGCCGTATCGTTCTTCACGACGCAGGAGCCGCCAACATCGGAGACGCGGGCACCAAGGCGGCGGCGGCGGGGCGGGCGGATAAGGAGAGCGTGCCCGAGGCGGCGCTGCGGCCTAGCAGTGAGGGCGACTTCCACGTCGGCCGCGGCGGCGCCGGCAACGAGCACGTGGCCGAGAAGAAGGCGGGCCTCGCCGACGACCACCCCAAGGGGCTTGCCGACAAGCTCAAGGACAAGCTGATGGGCGTGTTCAAGAAGTGATTTTTTGGTTTGTTTCTACGGTGGGGGCTCTCTAGATGGACAGGTTTAGCTCTCTTTCTTCTTGATAGCCTAGGAGTGTGTTGCTTCTACTTCTCTCTCGATTTTCGGCTCGTTTTTTCTTCTGACTTTTTGGACCCGGCTTTAGCCGCGAGGTTACCTTGGCGGCTTTCCATTTCCGTACGTTTCGGTGCCAAGGCCGGCTGTTGGCCATATCCAGCCCGGTGCGGCGGTGACGCAGAAGAGATAATACCCAGGTTTTATTTTGTTCTTTCGTCTTGTCAGCAAAGCCCTTCCAAGGCGGGCTACTTGCTCTCACGTGGCCGTGATGTGTTGCGTGTTCCTGTGTGACAGGACTGCTTGGCCGGACTCGGACTCTCTCGACATGGGCACAAGCAACCAAGAGCTCGAGGTGACGGCAGATGGCAAGACTTTCTCATTGCGGCATAACGCCCGACTGGCCGCCCGTCACCCGGCTCGTGCATGGCGGCAGCAAGGGCATGGGAGGCTGCCTGCAACCCAAGCTTGATGGTCCCCACCTGCTTGCGGCGGGTCGTCGCATTTCAAGGCACATTTACCAAGGGGCTGCCTGCCTGCCGGCCCAGCAGCAGCAGACGCCCAGGTAATCCAGAGGAGCCCCAACACTCAGACAACGTCAGAAACGCATGAGGCATGAGGCACACATCGCGTCTTGGGTTCCGGCGGCGGCGTCTGGGTAGTGGCGTTCCACGGCACTGGTCCCATGATTGGCGATGCGAGGGGGGACCTGATGGCCGATCCTGGAGCAAGGAAACAGCACGGCGGGGTATGTATCCAGAAGGACAGAAAGAGAGTGCCGACAAGACAGGACATGACAGCATAGCCATGTCGCATCGCGCACATTGTGCTCTAAAAACCACCCAGCGTTTCTGGCGCAGCAGGGCCTCCCCCGCCAGGCGGCCCATCACCAGATCTCCAGGGGCCTTGGTGGTGGGAAGAAGGTGGTGGGCGGGCCAAGGGTTTTTGTAAATAACGTCCCGTCCGGGGCCCATGGATTGGGTTGGCTTCGATGGGGTCCGTCGGGCTTCCATGGACGCCAGCCCTTGTCCTTTCTTCTTCTTGAACCTCCTCCTCCTCCTCCGTCTTCCTCCTCCCTCCGATCCTCCCAGCCAGGTGACCTCGTGTTGCACCAGACACCGCGCTGGCCGACGTCGCAGTTGGCTGCACGCCTGCATCGCCGCCAAAGAAACGCAGCTGCCCACCTCCTCCACCCCGTCCGCCCCAGCACGACGCCAGCTGCCCCGAAGATCGCTGCTCGTTTTCGTCGTCTCTCCCTGCCCATCGAGATTTTGGCGCCAGCCACGCTTGCATAAGGCCTTCATGCATAACAGCCTACGAGGAAGGAAAGAGAATAAAAAAAAGAAAAAGGGGAAAAAGCTGGAGAAACCCCGGGTTTCCCGTCCCCCAAACCACCCATCCCCCCCAATCTTTCGTTCCACACATCGCTCCGACCACCCACTCGTGGAATCCAAGCGCCCTCCCCTAGCACGTCACACAGGAAACAGAAAACGCAGGGGCGCCACCCGACTGGCCCCCTTTCAGCCACCACTTTTGCCCAAGGGAGAGTTCTGGTTGATTGACAGTCTGACGTGGAGCACCAAAAGAACGGCACCCCGAGTCAGAGTCAGCAGCGGTCGGGCAGCTGCTCCAATCGCCAAAACAGGCAAGGCCGTGGGGGGGCAAACTTCAGCTGACAGCCCGCAGCCTTTGGGGGAAAGAAACACACCGTCTCACTGGCAGCTAACGTCAGTCAAATCTGGGGTCTGGGGAGACGGCAAGTTCGGGCCACAGGGGTCGGTCGGTTGTCTCGGGCACCTGCGCCACGGTGACACAGGCCCTGTTCGAACCCAAGGAACAATAAAAAGCACGAGCCATGGCGCCTCGCAATCCAGAACCTCGCCCGCCGCTCCATCAGCACTACCACCACCTACTCCAGGCCCAGGAGCAGCAACCGCTGCTGCAGCCTCCACTGCATCTCCAATCGCCACAACAACACCTCCAGCTGCCCCCGGAGCATCAACAGCAGCTCCTTCTGCGCCCGACCTTCCCCAGGCTCTGGTCCAGGCTTTCCTACGTCTCCAAGCGCTCGTTCCGCTCCCACTCGTCGTCCTTCGAGGCCGACGACGAATTCTCCGACTCGGACATGGAGGACGGCTCCGCCGACCAGGGAGCCCGCCGCCGCCGCCATGGCGCGTTCGGCGGCCCCGCCCGCTACCCCAACGAGGACACCCGGCCGACGAGCCCCAAGGAGCTGGCCGGCTGGTACATGTACTCGTTCGCCGCCGAGACCTACGTCATCTGTGGTAGGTACACCGTCGCGCCCGGCGCCGCATTGTTTTGACCGACATTGACCCAACAATCTCCCCTTTGCTAGCCATCGGCTCCTTCATCCCCATCCTGCTCGAGAGCCTGGCCCGCGAGAACGGCGTGCTCATCAAGGACCGGACGACACCCTGCAAGGCGAGCTACGAGAAGGGCGCGGCCGGCGGCGACGCAAAGGGCAGTCAGTGTGTCGTCAACGTCCTCGGTGTCGAGATCAACACGGCCTCATTCGCCATGTACACTTTCAGCGTCAGCGTGCTGCTGCAGGCCCTGCTGGTCGTCAGCATCAGCTGTGCCGCCGACCACGGCAACTACCGCAAGAAGCTGCTGCTGATCTTTGCCGGCATCGGCAGCGCCAGCGTCATGGCCTACATCTTCGTCACCAAGCATGTCTACCTGCTGGGCGCCGTCTTGGCCATCATCTCCAACACCTCGTTTGGCGCCTCTTTCGTCCTCCTGAACTCGTTCCTGCCATTGCTAGTGAGGCACCACCCGCGCCGCGAGTTTGCCGAGGCCACCGCTGCCCTCACCCCAGATCTGGACCCGTCGCCCGGGTCCCAGCCCCTGTCCCAACCCCTATCCGCAGCCACAGATGCGGCCCCGCACGGCGACGACGGCGACGAGTCCGAGGCCCTGCTCGACTCAACTGCAGCCCTTCTGCGCGAGAACGGGTTGACGCGGGTCCGCACGCGTGAGGACCTCACCTCGATCGAACTCCAGCTGTCGACCGAGATATCCGGCAAGGGCATAGGGATTGGCTACTGTGCAGGCCTGTTCGTCCAGTGCGTCGCCATCCTGATTGTGTTCCGGCTCAAGAACTCGACGTGGTCTCAGCGCCTCGTCCTGCTCTTCGTCGGCACCTGGTGGGCCGCCTTCACCATTCCCGCTGCCATGTGGCTGCGGCCCAGGCCCGGCCCGCCCCTGCCCGCCGCCGCAGTCTTTTCGTCAAAGAAGCGCGGCGGTGGCGGAATCCGCGACAGCCTGCGTGCCTGGATCGCCTACACGGCGTATGCGTGGCGGGCCCTGTTCCGCACCGTGTCGCTTGCGCGTCAGCTCATCGACATCGTGCTGTTCTTGGCTGCCTGGTTCCTGCTCTCCGACGCCATCGCAACCACGTCGTCGACCGCCATCCTGTTCGCCAAGACGCAGCTGCGCATGGAGCCCTGGGCCCTGGCCATGATCAACGTCATCTCGACCGTGGCCGGCATCGCGGGCGCGCTCTCGTGGCCCCCCGTGTCCCGCAGGTTCGGCCTCCGCCCGCACCAGACCATTCTGGCCTGCATCGCTCTCTTCGAGCTGATCCCGCTCTACGGCCTCGCCGGCTACCTGCCCTTTGTGCGCCGCTGGGGGGTTATGGGCCTGCAGCAGCCCTGGGAGATGTTCCCCCTCGCGGCCGTGTACGGCTTCGTCCTCGGCGGCCTGAGCGGGTACTGTCGGTCGCTGTACGGTGAGCTGATTCCCCCGGGGTCCGAGGCGGCCTTTTACGCCCTCTACGCCATCACCGATAAGGGCTCGAGCGTCTTTGGTCCGGCCATAGTTGGTGCCATCATCGACGCAACCGAGGAGATCAGGCCCGCCTTCTGGTTCTTGGCCGTCATGGTCGGCCTCCCCGCCCCACTCATCTGGTTCATCGACGTCGATCGGGGCAAGGCCGAGGGCGAGAGGCTTGCCGAGGTCATTGAGGGCTTCAAGGCCGAGGGAGAAGAAGAGAGCGATGAAGATACACACAGCCAAGGCTACGACGAGGACGAGCTGGAGAATGACCGACGAGGCCCCATTCTAGGGGGGTATGATGAACGTGACGACGGTCTGGCCGAGAGTGGGCCGAGGCGGTAGTGGGTGCGGGCTTGGGAGAACATGCTCGGTCTGCCATCACCCTCTAATCTGGAATTTGGATACATATTGAATCTTTTGGTGTTTGTTTTTGTTTAAGCATAGCGACGGCGCTCGGTTATCCCAGTTCAATATAGCTCCCTCTATCATTGCTGGCTTGCTGGCAACCTCGATGCGCTGTCGTGGCTCCAAAGGGAACAGGAATGCTAGGCTGAGCCAAGGAAGGCGTTTCGACCTAGCGTCCAAAAGCGCCAAGGGTTCCTAGAGATCAATTGGTATCGGCCAAGCTATGTAAATCAGGCAAGCTCAAGCGCCGTCCAATCGGACTTGAGCCCCTCCTTCCACCAACGATACTGTACATATAGGTGTCCAGGATCACGAACACTAGTGCGGTGGAGCAAGATACATTTTCTTCCTTAGAAAACCAAGCCAAACTGATGTACCACCAAGATCCACCGCACTAGTGTTTATGATCCTGGACACCTGTACATGTGGGTTATGTAATCAGCCAGGTCCGTGGGCTTTGCGTAATTGCGCGCCGAGGGTCGCAACTGCCAGCTCAAGCCCCCCCCGTCTGTTTTATTCTTGGTTTATTGTCCATAATCTTGACTGCCGGCCATTCATCCGAAGTAAGTGCCGTTTGTCGGTTGCGTGGCAGCATGCAAGGGAACCCGGTCAAGCAGTGAAGTTTGATGGTGCTGGAGAAAAAAGAGCCCACCATTCCCGTTGGGCATAAGCGATCTGTGCCCCCAGCCACCAAATCATTCCACTACAGCGGGTTGGGTGGTGGGCCACAGCCCAGCTATCGACAACGAGGCCGATCGATCGTGAGAGCGAGAAAAAAAAAGACGAGGAAAAACAGAAGGAAAAAAGGTGACGCAGGAAACCCGCAAATCCGCAAACACGGTTCGTTCGTGACCAGCATTTGTAACTGCTGTGTTTGCTTTTTTGACTCCGTCTGCCATCAGCTCTGCCCCCACGCATCAATTTATCCTTGTCTGTTGCCGAGCGCGCCAACGCGCTCTCCCTGCGACTGCCACTTCCCACGCCACCAACTCGCCTCTTCCGACAACCTCTTCTCGAAGCTTCCTCTCCGACGAGCCACTCGACGCGCACCCGCCCCTCGTCGCCGTCGCACCAATCGCCCTCACCTGGCGCGAAAGAACAAGCATACACAACAATCTACCCAGCGAGGTCCGACCCATCTCCGGCTGCCCAACCAAAGGCGTCCTCACCCACCTGCTCTCCATCGCTCCGATAACGCGTGGCTTGGGTATCACACGCCGCCCAGTTGTTTGCATCCATCGGCTTCCTCACCCGGCAGCTCGCTCGTCCGCGCAGACTGTCCTCCCCGACGGAGAGCAGCCACCCGCCTTCGGGCACCGCGACGCGCACGCCGAGCCAGCCGGGGCTGACTCTCTAGCCGCGCGCGCGCCGCTCCTTCCCCACCCCCTCAGACAAAGGCATACCCCTCCTTCCGCCATGGCGTCGTCCCCTAAGAAACGGTCGCGCAACGAGGCGGACGAGTCGCGCGCCGAGTGTCCCTTCTCCATTAGGCTCGTCGACCCCAAGGAGAAGGAGCAAAAGTCCAAGAAGCGGCGCAAGCCGGTCGCGGAGCCCGCCGAGGACGACGAGACCAAGAAGAACCTGGCCCAGTTGTCGCCCTTCGCCCCGACTGGAAAGTTCAAGACGCACGACACCATGGACGTGCACTACCAGGTCGAGCCGGCAAAAAATTGGGCGGATATGACGCGGTACAACAGCTTTGTTCGTAAGTTTGGCGCCTGAGATGTGTCCCAACCCAATTCCCCCTCTCTCCGCAGTGGCATGTGTCCCTAACGTGCGCCAACGCGCCGGGCGGTAGTAAATGGCGTCAAGTACTTCAGCGAGGGCTTCATCTACGTGGCAAACGAGTCGTCCATCGATCGGCAAAAGGCGCCGCCTAATAAGGTAGGCGGCGTGAAGAAGAAGTCGGACGAAGATTGGGTCGCGAGGATCCTCGAGATCCGGGCCAGCGACGAGCATCACGTTTACGCTAGGGTCTACTGGATGTACTGGCCCGACGAGCTGCCACAACACATGTTGGACGGGAAGAAGATGGCGCAGGGCCGCCAGCCATATCACGGACAGATGGAGCTCATCGCCTCAAACCACAGTGCGTTGTGCTCTGCCTGCCGCCCTCCCTCCCCAAGCTATCGGCCGCCACGCATGTTGCTAACCAGACCGCAGTGGATATGATCAATGTGGTCAGCGTCACTTCCCAAGCACAGGTGAACCAGATGATCGAGGATAACGACGACGACATTCAGAGCAGCCTTTACTGGCGACAAGCTTTCGACGTGAGGACAGCCGAGCTCTCAGTACGTACTACCTACCTTGCGCGCCACGGCCAGCGGCTGTGCTAACTCGGGCTCTCCCATGCACAGTCGGTCGAGCATGTCTGCAAATGCGGCCAGCCAGCAAATCCTGACAAGACCTTGATAGGATGTTCCAACACAAAAGGCGGCTGCGGAAAATGGCTTCACTCGGACTGCCTGATACACGATGCGCTCACCAGGGTTTACGAGAAGCTGGGCAAGACCGAGCCACACATAACACCACCCACGCCCACCCTCAAGGACGAAAAAGACGGCGACGAGGCCAAGAGTCCACTGAGCCCCAAGGAGTCGGGCGGAGCAGTGTCGGCCCAGCAGTCCATCGACGTCAAGTCGGACGGCGTCGACGTCAAGGACATCAAGCCAAAGAGTGAGTCCGCCAGGGTGGAGGAGGAGTCGACGGCACCGCCAACCTCGACGGAGCCCGAGACGAGGCCGATAAAGAGCTCGGCTGAGCCATCATCGAGCAGGGCCGGCGGAACTGGGCGCAAGGGCAAGTCCAAGAAGAAGGGAGAGCCTTACGAGGGGCTCTTCCAAGCCAAAACCGTCATGAACCTGACGCCGCCCTTGATGGAGATCACGGACCTGCGACGGGGCATCGAGGGCGGCGACAAGACGTGGATGGAGCCAATGCCGTGCCTGATCTGCCACGAGCAAATAGTATAACCGTGTGCTGGGCGCCTCGCGTGGGCCGGCAACAAGGGGTCGGGCAGCACTTGCCCGAACCCTTGTTGCCGGGCTCTTTTCTTCACAAAGCCTCCTCGGCAATGGCCACACTCGGGGCCTGCAATATCTGCTCACCCACCAATAACGTACAGACACGCGGACGCGCCCTCGTTGAGTCTCATGCCATCTGACGTCAAAGACGCATCTTTTCTCGTGGGGCAGAACTCTGGCATCTGGCAAGGGGCCCGCCTCGTTCTCTAGTCTTCTACACACACCACTGTTACCCCTTCATTCATGGTGCCCGGCGCTTCTGGACCACCTTGTTTGCGCTTGATTGTGCATCTTCCACTTCGACCGCCTTATGTGCCCCGCCGATTCGACTCGCCCGGTTTTCCCACGAACCCTATCCCGAGCCAGGTCCTGCTGACATCTGGCATCATTGCCAACCGACCCACAATGGACATGCACGTTGCGATTGCCAGCTATCTGCATACGTCTGCCTACCGGAGTCTGGACCTGCTGGCTAGCGCTTGCCAACTGGCCGTTCGACGAGGCTTCTGCCCTCAGGCAACAGAACCGGATGGCCGTCCGTAGACGGCGCCCGAGCTCTGATATTTGCTGGCACCCGAGCTCCTACCATGCTCGGTGTGATAGCTAGCAAAGAGCCTCAACAGCAGACACACTTGAGCCTGAAGGAGAGCCGGGCTTATGGCCGCTGGCTCTTGATGCGATCTGCCACCCAGACGCAGGTCTGGGCATGTGCTGTGGAGACTACATCCTTCATATGAAGTCTCGACCCACATAGGCGGCGCGCTGAGAAACACCGTTGCTACCTGTCCCCGAGGCACCCAAAGAATTGGGTGATCTCGGGCGCGCTGTAACGTCCAGGCAGACAGCACATGGGCTGGTCTTGTCTTCTTCTCCCGATATCCAATTGTCCCACTACCCTCTCTATCAAGCATTTGTTTTGTGTGGCATGCTTGCCTATGGTATTACTTAGACTAGGGCGGAAAGATCGGAGATCTGGTAATGGGAGTTAAAAAAAAAAAGGTCGTCAAGGCCATTTAGGTTGTCGGGTTCACTGCTCTTCTTTTTGTCCTTTAGGGTGTTTACTCGTCGCAAAAGCACTTTATCTGTTCTTATTCTTTTTAGCCACTTTGCGATGAGCCCATCCTCTGTATTTAGCTCTTGAATAGCCCTGGAGTTGATAGTCCTCTGCCTTGATGTACTTGGGTATGCATTCATTTATCTCTAAGGTGCATATTTAGCTCGTGATTCCGTAATGCTTTGCAATGATGGAGGTTTTCAAATGCTTGGTGGATCGAATCTATGCCACCTTGTTGGTCCGTGCGCCGCCACCGGAGGGGCAGTTGCATGTCAGGTCGCTCAATTGGACGCCGCCAGGGATGAGAAGGTGGGGCGGGGCGGCGTGGGACTGGAGCACAGCTCTGGCAGCTTTCCCATTCCCGCTTGTTGTCCAACATCACAATTACTGCCCCCCTCTGACGACTGCAGTATAACGACCGGGATATAACCTGGGCGAAACACCACGAGAGGGCCGGGAAAACAGCAACAACAACCCGGAAAGCAGTACCAAACGCCAATCTGACTTTTGAGCCGCCGTTCGATTCACGACCCCGCCACGTCACATTGAGAGAAGCACATACCTACTACACACTCGAGGCTCGGGCAGCAAGAAGGAAAGCAAGATGGCTGCCGATCCCTTTGACTCGTCACTGTGAGTCCTTCTCCCCTACTGCGGACGCGCAGCCTCCTCCTGGCCACACGCCCCGCCTCTAACTCCCAAGCGCAACCACCACCACCCTCCCGCAGCGACCTCCTCCGGCGGCTCGACCCCAAGCACACGAAGCGGCACCTGGACGGGCTCGTGTACCTGGTGCCCGACATCACCGAGGACCTGCTGTCGTCGGTGGACCAGCCGCTGGCGGTGCGGCGGTGCAAGCAGACGGGGCGCGAGTACCTGCTGTGCGACTACAACCGCGACGGCGACTCGTACCGCTCCCCCTGGTCCAACCAGTTCGACCCCCCGCTCGATGACGGGCCCGGCGCCGGGGGCGTCGGTGGGGGGCCCGGTGGCGCCGCCAACGAGGGCGCCGGCGAGGCGGCGGTCCCCGGCGAGCGGGTCCGGAAGATGGAGGTGCGCGCCAACGAGGCCTTTGACATCTACAGGGAGCTCTACTACGAGGGCGGCGTCTCGAGCGTCTACCTGTGGAACCTAGACGACGGGTTCGCAGGGGTGGTGCTGCTGAAGAAGGGTATGGGCTACAGCTCCTGGGCGGGAAGAGGTGTACAGAGAATGCTTTGCATGGGGCGATAGATGTGATGCTAATAAAAGAGTGAAAAAAAAACAGCCTCCCCCAGCGGCGGCGGCAGCGAGGGCGTGTGGGACTCGATCCACGTCTTCGAGGCGAGCGAGCGCGGGCGCACGACAAACTACAAGCTGACCTCGACCGTGATCCTGACGCTCTCGTCGGCCGGCAACCCGGCCCTGGGCGACATGGACCTGAGCGGCAACATGACGCGCCAGCTCGAGCAGGACCTGCGCGCGTCCGACGACGAGTCGCACATTGCAAACATCGGCCGTCTCGTCGAGGACATGGAGCTCAAGATGCGCAACCTGCTGCAGGAGGTCTACTTTGGCAAGGCCAAGGACGTCGTCGGCGACCTGCGCTCGCTCGGCAGCCTGAGCGAGGGCCGGCGCGACAGGGACGCGCAAAGGGAGCTTATTGGGAGCATGCGGAGGTGATTCTTTTGGCATGCATATCTTCTTGTTCATGTTCCAATCTCTTCTTTTGACATTATTCTTGTTCATCTTCCCATTTCCTTTCCTCTCGAGAGAACCCGAGGGGAGTGCGGGATTTGCCTTGCATGTGCATCCGAGTCTAGGTGCGCAACCGCCGAAGCTTTGATACGAGGTCCAGGGGGAACAAAGGACGGCCCCCCCTCGTCCATCCCAGAATCACAAGAGGAATCGACCGAGGCCTTGGGAAAATAAGAGCAGAAAACGAATGATGACGACCATGACGATTTGTTGAACATTACGGCGCTTGCAACGCATGATGAAAGAAAGAGGGGCCGGCGGGAGCCAACCTCGGGTGGCCTGAGAAAGTGGTGATGTTTCAGTCTCTCGTGTTCCCGCTGGTCTTGGGGGAGGGCGGCCGTCCGTGTGGGGAGGGTACGGGCGGGCTGAAGTGGAAGGAGGGCCGCGTCTTGTCGGTTTCCAAAAGCTTCGCTTGAGCTCCCAAATGCAGCCCTGAGACTCTTCCCTTTCCCCCGTCTCTCCCTCCCCTATTTTGATGCAGGATGGGAGCATGTCCCTGATAGACAGGTTTTGACGATGAAAAAGGGGACCTAAATCTCGGGACAATGCAGGCTCAAAGTAACCCAAACGCAGGAAAAATAAAAATGGGTCTTCCCTGCCATGGTGCGTGGTGACGGAGGTCTGCTCGGGGAGACCAAGGCAGAGGGGAAATGAGACGGTGGTAACGCCGAGGAGAAGAGCCGGCGAGGCGCGACACGGAAATCGGGAAGAAAAAAGTCAAATGTAAAAATAACCCACAGCCCACACACCACAACACGGCGGTATGGAATGATGTACAGAGGTATTTCCCAGGTCCCCCTTCCGTCTCTCGGGTGGGTTGGGTGATGTGGAATTGGACGGGAGGAGTGGACTTGGAAATGGATGGATGGAGCCGCGGGCTGGGATCCAAATGGCTCGTGGGTGGATGACTTGCATATGCGGGGCGGGTGGGTGTGGTGGCCGTCCGTGGAGGGTGGTGCCGGTGGTGGGCAGCCAGACCGACCTGAGGAGCTGAGCTCTTTTTCTTCCTTTCTATTTCTCCATACGGACCAGCCGAGTCGACAGGACCGGGCGCCAGGCAGGACGCTATCGGATGGAGGAGGGACGAGACGAGGGAGACCTTCAGTGACCAAGGAGGACTACCAGAAACAAGGCTCTGCCTCGAATAATGAAAGAAAGAAAAAGCACGGTGACTAACAAATGCCCCATCACTGGTGAACTAAAGTGTAAACATGCAGCTATCGGTCTTGGTGTTGCTGCCGCCTACGCCGTTACCCTTTTGGATTTCTGTTAGCTGGCGGCGACGCCGAGCTGGTGTGCTGGTTGTCTCAAAGGGGACCACAATACATGCCACTTGCGACGGGGATGGCCCGTGGGTGGTGGGGGGTGAGCTTATTGGAGGGAGGGGGCCGGGAATGAGAGCCGACAATAGGCGGCCAGCCTAGTCTTTTTTTTTTTTCCTCTTTTTTTTTGATCACCCTCGTTCCTCCCACGCAGACAGAGATTTTCCGTCTATTGATGCGCCAGGAAAACCAACTAGAAAACTTAGAGCACAGGTGGTGCACAACTAACTACCCGAGATGATCGGAAGAAGGCAGCTAGAACAAAAGGAGTAGCACCGCGATTACAATTCGGACATGCACAGCCACTGCTCTTCATTTCCGTATTGTTCCCACGCCCCTATTCCTCCCTCGGTCACGGCCACGGCGGCAGGCACCGCCCATCGCCGGGCCGAGTGGGGGGGTTTCGCGATCAGTAATACCTTGCGAGCCTCGCCGTGTTCGTCGCAGGAGATTTGCGGCTCTCCTGCCCCTTCAGACGTGTAGATCAAGCCCCTCTGGCGGACTCAGCACATACTCTCCCCATGGCACATATGTGGTGGCAGGTAAGACGAAAGGAGAGTGGGAAGAAACCAGGAGCCAGGCACTCGGTGGATCCTCCCACCATCCCATCCCAGTCTTTGGGGGCATTGCACACAACATGGCTCGTCACACAGTTGTGGTCCGTGTTGGAACATGGCCCCTGGGGGCGGCCCCCAGGACGTGCATTCCCCTTCTCGACTGTTCCAGAATCCTGTCCAACCGGGCGTGGAACGGAAAGACTGACCTATCCTGTCTGGGGGAGAAGAAGGGCGGTGTGTGTGCATTGAAGGGCAAGAGAACGACTGGAAGGCAAAGAAGAAAAAAGAAAAAAAAGGGACGAGGAGGCATGACGACCCACGGATGTTCTCGAACAAATGCTATCGAATGAAATGTTCTCGACGTGCCAGGTCGGGCACATCCCCCTGGCGAGTTCCATGCAGTAGGAAAGGAACGGCCTGCCTTGCCCGGGTTCTAGAAGGAAAAGAAAAATGCGGCCGGGGTGGTGGCGTAGCAGGCACAGCGAAGACACAGCATCAGGAACAGACCTCCCCCGAGCTAAGCACGGCACTCGGCCCAATGCCTTGTGGTGCCAAATGCTGCTCCGCGGGCGTGCTGCCCATCGGCGTGCCGAAAACAGAAGGGAGCAGCGCGCGCTGCATTCGTCGGCGATCAGAGCACAGCGCGGCGTTTGGGGGTGTGTAGAGCGGTGCAGAGGATTGAGGCCTGGGTGCTTGTCTGGGAAGGGGCGCTCCGCCTGATAAATTGCCGTTTCCCGTCAAATTTAAGCTCCGACGAACATTTCCGCCGTGTGCTGTGCCAGGTACTGTGGTATTTCCACGTCGCATAAAGCTGCTCCACATCCAGAGTGCCGGCCTTTTAGACCGGGATTCTCGTCCTTTCGTCTTCTCCTCCAGCTCTCGTCTTTTGTCGGCTTTGTGTTTTATATCTGGTACCTTCCTAAGCAGGTGCCTGCCTTGTTCCCGTCCGGGGCCCTTTTTTCTGGCCGCCCGTGCTGCACTGCAATCTGCCTGCTTTGCCGTGGTAATTTTGTTGTGTAAAAGGAAGCAGCCCAGAGCAGAAGGACTCACAGACCGCTCCCCCCCCCCCAAAAAAAAAAGCAGGGTGCCCATCCGTCCTCCCGTCGGCTTTTCCCCTCATCTTATTTGCGACTCCGCCGTCTCCGTATAACTGCCCTCCGAGCCCCCCATCCTCCCTCCGACGGGCCGTCTTCAGCACCTGAAGGCGCCGCCCACACTCGCGCTCGACGACCCGCCGCCGCCCCTCCATCGAGACCACGTGCCACCCCACCAAGGATTGACCTTGACTCAAGTTGGACGCCTGAAGCGCGCGCTCAGCTGCCTCTCGACCCCTTGGACCCGTCCCGGACGCACACTTCCTGTCCGACTCTTGTGGCCCCTGAACTTGTGAACCGACCGAGAAATTGCCCAACGCTACCTCGACCAAAGCCGTCCGCCGCCCGCGTGCTGCTTGTGAGCTTTCCCGTGTGCCCGACTACTTCTCGTCCACACCACCTTTCGCTTGCCCGGGCACCAACGAGCCCACCGCCCAACCACAGACCGCACAGCCGAAGCCCACCAGGCGAGGCGAGCCCGAACCCACTCCGTCGGCACATCCCTAGTTCTCTCGCAAAACGAAGAGCGAGTGAGAAAAAAATATTCACGAGCTCCCCCGAACGGCGAACCCTTCGGCGCCCCGAACTACCAGCCATGGCCGAGAAACCCTCGGTCCTCATCATAGGAGGGCTGGGGTACATTGGCCGATTCCTGGCCCTCTACATCCACCAAAATGAGCTCGCCTCCGAGGTGAGGCTGGTCGACAAGGTTCTTCCCCAGTTGGCCTGGCTCGCCCCCGAGTTCAGCGCCGCCTGCTCTACCGACAAGTTTGTCCAGGCCGACGCCAGCAGAGAACGTGAGTCTTGCAATTCCCTCTTCTCATCCTTTGCCCTAAGTCCGCCTGCTGCCTTGCCGCCTCTGGTCCGTCGGGAGAAACGGGAGGAAAAGCCCCGGAAAGAGAAAAAAAACGGGGCTTCTCAAAGATAAGAAAAAATGCCGAGGCAGCGGCACAGCTGGGCAGTGTCGTTCTCGCTTCTAACAGCCAGCCATTTCCCCACTGCAGAGTCTCTAGCACGCATATTCGACCGCGCCGACGGAAAACAGTGGGACTATGTCTTCAACTGCGGTGGCGAGACCAGGTACTCACAGGAGGATGAAGTCTACAGGCTGCGCTCGCTCGCCCTGTCGCTCGCCGTCGGCAAGGAGTCGGCCAAGCGCAAGGTCAAGCTCTTTGTGGAGCTGAGCACCGGCATGATCTACAAGCCCGACTCGCAGCCCAGCAAAGAGGGGGACAAGCAGAAGCCGTGGAGCAAAATCGCTGTCTTCAAGCAGCAGGCCGAGGAGCAGCTCTCCAAGATCGAGGGGTGAGTTGTGGCCCTGTCCGTGTCCCAAATTCGTGGGCTTACTGACAACCGCCGGTGGCCTCACCCTGAACAGTCTGAACCTCGTCATCGTACGACTGGCGCACGTGTACGGGCCGTATGCATCTCAATGGGTTGCGACGGCTCTCTGCATGGCGCGTGTGTACAAGGATAAGATGTACGACATGAAGTGGCTGTGGACCAAGGACCTCCGCACCAACACGGTGCACATACACGACGTCTCCCGCGCGCTCTGGGCCATCGCAGCCTGGTACGACGCCGGCAAGGCAAAGTGGGATGCGGCCTCGATGGGTGTCGTTCCCACCTTCAACGTTGTCGACAAGGGCGTGACCACGCAGGGCGCCATGGCGGACCTGATCGGCCAAATCTTTGAGATCGATACGGGCTTCCAGGGTCAACTGATCAGCACGTTTGCCAAGCTCAACATGGACAACGTGGTTGATGAGGTCAACGACAACATGCTGGGGCCCTGGGCCGACCTGCTCCAGAAGGCCGGCATCAGCCGTCCCGGGCCTCTGACGCCCTTTATGGAGAAGGAGCTGCTCAAGGACACGGACCTGAGCATGGACGGCAGCCGGCTCGAGTCAGTCGTCGGCTTCACGTATGAGCGCCCCAAGATGACCAAGGAGCTCCTCGAAGAGGTGATTGAGAGCTACAAGAGGATGAGATGGTGGCCCGAATGATTTGGCTCCAGGGATATCGTTTCGCCAATCTCGCGACCGGCCACCACGACCAAATATCGACTGCTCACGGCTTGGAGGAGACAAGAGGCCATTACGTCATTTCAGGCGGTTCCGGTTTAGGGATGGGCAACGCGACACGGCCCTTCTCTAACTTGGTGGGTGAGAGCGTGCGCACCGCCGGCCGAGTGCTCGACAAATCCCTCTCTCTTCCTCCATCCCCTCACGAATCGACCCGCCCTGGCGCCCCCTCTGATGATCACGAGGCGGTTCTCGGCGCCGTCAAGCGCCAAGAAGCGTATTTTGGAAAAGGAGCCGAGCGACGTGACCAGGTTTGGTCTGCTCCCCTACAGCTCGGTGGACGCAAGAGCTGAACATGCAAGTAAAAAAAGAAGGAAAAAAAGCGAAGCGGAAAGGAGAGAGAAAATCATCAAGAAAAGCAGGCCAATGGTGTTTCGGATTTTACCATGTTTTACGGGTTGCTCCTCGCGAAAGCGATACCGAGTGCCCGTTCCCAATTTTCTTTTTCAGTTCCGGAGTCCCAGGCCGACGGGTTTTTTGGGACCCGATGTATTATCATTGATATCCGTCTAATGTTTGTTGATACACCATTTCCCGCACCAGCTTCCCCTGCATTCATGCCTCTTTTTCTAGCACTTGTTCATTCCTGTTAAGCCTACACCCCGGGACCTACCTAGCTTAACCAAGCAATCGCCATGGCGCGGATAGACGTAAAAGAGGGAGGTCGTCGTGTGGGGGTACGTCATACGCTGTACGACGGAAGTTGTCAGGCAGGGTACCTACAGTACTGATGTGCGTACCAAGGCATGCACAAGCAACCTCCCGGGTCTTGGCAACCGAGGTCTCTCTTGGTCTGGTGTTGAGCTTTCCCCTTGCTTTGTTAACGAACGGCTTGTGTGCGTCCAATCGGCGGGCTTTCGCGCTTTCTATTTCGGTGACTGATGCATATCGTGCGTCTTTCCAAAGCTCCTCCCCAAACACCTGGGACGGGAGGGACTCATTCAAGTTTGACAAGCGACAGGACTTTGCGGATCCTTATTTTCTTCGTCCCATCTGCCCGTAGTCCGTTTTGCGTGTGCTCTGACCTCAGAGGGCGGGGTACTATTTTGGGTATGCTAGGTAGGTGGTAGGTACCTGGTAGTAGGTAGCATGTGCCTCGGCACGATGGTTTGGTGACACGCCAACGGTGCACGTTCTCTGGTGACGATCCCACCCATCACATCACCTGGGTACCCCTCAGGCAGGCAGGCAGGCAGGCAGGCCATACGTCCGTTCCAGCTTCGGACCGGCGGCGACGGCGTAAAAAAAATAAAAATAAAAAATCGAGCCTGCTATCGGTCGGGTTCTTCCATGGCACTGCTGGCCAGGGCGCGAGTATAAAGACCCGGGGTGGGACCCTCCGGTGTCGACCGACCGACCGACCCCTCCTGGACTGCTGCCAAACCCTCTGGTTCTTCTCCTCCGCCTTATCTTGGGCTGACTGTATCCTACTCGCTCGTCTCGACTTGCACCCGTGCACCGCCCGCCAACGATTGGTTTCCTACTCAGCATCGACATACGAGCAAACCAACTTTGACTGGACTGCCCCCGGCGGTGTGTATTTCCGCCAACCACATCTACGAGCCGACCGCAGCACAACTAAACTGTCGGGCAAAGCGGGTTTCGATAGCGCGCATATTTCCCTGACGCCGTTGAGCCTTTAATTTGCTTGGCCCCCCTGCTCCCAGCCAGCTTAGCTACCCCGCATTTTGGCAAAAGACAAGAAAGCGTCGCCCGCCATGGCCGCCCCACCCTCCAAGACGCTGAAGGATCTGAACGGGAAGTGGGTGATGGTGAGTCTTTTTGCTTGCCTTTTTTCTGCAATATGGGTTTATGAAGTGGGATTGCGAGACAAGAGAGGTAGATTGAGGCGATTGGATGGATGAATGGATGGGTTGAAAAAGAGAGGGTGTGCTCGTTTGCTGCCCCCGTGGAGAAGCGACGGGAGACGGTTGGTTGTCTCAGTCACGGCTCGACCCGAACCGCGTGGCCTGGCATGAGCTCCGGCTAGTTAGCCCACCGACGAATTGCCCAGAATGAGCCAAGCGAAGAGGAGGAATACAAACAGAAAAAAGAGGCAAACGCTGACCAACGCCCACGCAGAACAAAACCCTCTCGGACAGCACCGAGCCGGCGCTGGCGCTGCAGGGCATCGGCTGGTTCGTGCGCAAGGGCATCTCGATGGCGTCGGTGACGCTCAACGTCAAGCAGTACACGGGCGCGCCCAAGCCCCCTTCCACCTCGCCCGAGGAGGCCGTGCACATCGACATCGTCCAGACCGCCACGGGCGGCATCAAGGGCACCACGGAGCTGCGCTGCCTCGACGGCGTCGCGCGCGAGCACACGGACTGGCTGTTCGGCAAGGTCTCGGGCCGCTCGCGCCTCCTCAAGCGCGCCGAGGTCGCCGACGAGTACCTCAAGCGCGGCTGGATCGAGGAGGAGGGTGGTGAGGGAGGAGAGGAGGCCGAGCACATCGAGAGCAGGGCCGAGAGCGTCGACAACGGCTGGGTCGCGCTGCAGGTCTGGGGGTTCCAGCTCATCGGGGGCGAGAGGAGGTACGCGCGCAACATCATGGTGACCAAGGGCGCCGAGAGGGTCGAGATGCGGCTCGTGTACGACTGGGCGGGCGAGCAGCTGGACTTTGAGATTTAGGGGGGTTTGTTGTGCTTGTTTTCTTTTTCTTTTTTCCTTTCGCCTGCTTAGAGTCAGTCGCTTTGCTTCTCAGCAACCCACCACCTCACGCGGAATGTATATTCAACATCCTCACAAGCACACGTCAGGTCAAGCAATGGCCGATGTTGAATAGCTCTAAAAGACATGTGCCTGCCCAGACAAGGGGAGAGCCGTGTCCCTGTAGTTTGAAAAGATCCCATAAACGCCCGTTGATGCCCCCTTTCCCGATGACAAAAAGTCAAACTCCAATTCGCCGTTGAGCTTTCTTTTGCCAAGTATTTCCTGCCCATCTGGTCCCCTCCTTTTCTTTTGTCTTTCATCAACGCTTGACGATATCGCTCCCCACCCAGGCACATGCAACCAGCCAACCAGCCAAACCCCTCCCCTACTCCGGCCGCCTCTTGACAAACTCCTCCAGGTCCGCGGCGGTCGCGACGCCCAGCACGAAGCGGCGGCGGTCGTCCGTCACCACCGCAAAGTCCTGCCTCTGCCCCCCGTGGTTGGCGCCGGCGAAGAAGGCCTCGAGCTGCTCGAGGGGCGTGTCGAGCGTGATGACCGTGTACGGGCTCCCGCCCTTGCCGCGGCGGAACCGCGTCATGACGGACCGGATCTCGTCCTCGGGCTTGGCCTTGCCCTCCTCCATCAGCCCCTGCAGGTTCGGGATCGAGATGTAGCCCAGCAGGGCGCGCGTGGTGCCGTCGACGATGGTCAGGTGCGTGTACTCGCGCTCGAACGCCGACTGCAGCGCCAGCCCGACCGGGTCCGAGGGGGTCAGGGAGAGGGCGGCCGGGGGGTCGAGGTCCGAGACGACGGCCTGGGGTGGAGGGAGGGGTGAGTGTGTGAGGTTAGTTTTCTTGGTGGGTGGTGGTGGTGGTGGTGGTGGTGGTGGTGATGGCGAGAGGATGTGACGCCATCCCCCACATGGACCTACCCCACGATACCGCGCAGCCCACTTGGAGACGAAAGGCTGCGACGCAGCGGCGGCGTTAGCGCTTGACGATTGGACCATGGCGTTGGCGGTTTGGAGAGAGATCTGCGGCTACTGTTGGTCTCGGGGCGTGGGAGATGTCGAGCGCGTTAAAGGGGCCGGCACTGCATGTGGTTTGCCAGCGCCGCACGAGTTTGAAGTCGTCAACATGTGGTGGGGCAGCCAATTGAATTGATCGATGCCAGTCTGGACCTCAATTGGACATCCTGAGTTGGCATGAAGCTCCGTCATTGGCTCTGATGTCATTGTGGAGCTTGTCTTCAAGCATCAAAGAGATGGGGAAATGCATTGCCTCAATTTTCACACCAACAGCTATTCGCCATATCCATTACAAATAAACGGATGTTTTACAACCCATCATCCACTCGGCAACGTCCATCTTCTCGTAGTGCCTCCCCATCGCGTCCCACGAGTGCACTAGAAGGGCCCTAAGCTCGGCGCTGAGCCAGGTTTCCATTTTAGCCCGCTTTTCAGGTCGCTGGGATCCCGTTGCGCTGATGGAGCTTGCAGCTCTCCCTCTGGACCGCTTCTGGGAGGCCGCGATAACCTAGCTTCAGGCAACCCACGACCACACAGCCGTGTTTGAGTGAGCTTACCAATGCGTAAATAATCCCATCAAAAAGCTGCCACCAACCCTATTACGACGGCTTCGCCCATGCTCTTGGCATACCGGAAACGATGTTATATATCATACATTCAAGGTGTGCCTACATGTAGCCATCTAGCGCCACGTAATAAATTATAATCTATAGGTTACCGATATACATGTTCTTCGAAAAACAACCCTCGTAATTTGTAAAAACCGGGTAGGAAGTACAAATAGTATAGAAATGGGTGTGGAGGTGGCAAACGCGTCATCTAAAAAGCCTTGCGATCGCCTCGTACCCGCGGCCTGTGACGATGTGCAGCGGCGTGCGGCCGTCGATATCTTTCGCTTCGGTATTAGCACCCCGCTTTACAAGCAGCTCAGCGACCGTCTTGTTCCCGTATATCGCGGCATAGTGCAGAGGCGTAAACTCGTTGTTATTTTTCACCTCGATATCGGCGCTTAGATCCAAGAACAACTTAGCAACGGCTTTGCGATGGAGCCCAATAACCGCCTGTAATGGCGTGTGTCTGAACTGGCCCCTCGTTTCCAAGTTGGCCCCCTTTTCCACCAGCAGCCTGGCGGCGGCTTCGTGTCCGTTCTCAACAGCCGCGAGTAACGGCGTCTCGTCATCCCAATACTCATTGATGTTGGCTCCCTTTTCCAGTAGAATTTTAACCATCTCGTCGTAGCCTTTGGATGAGGTGGCTACGAGGGCGCTCCGCCCTTTTGTGCGTTAACGTCTGGCCCCTTTTCAAGAAGCAGTTTAACAATCTCGTTATGGCCGGCATATGAGGCGATTTTGAAGGCGCTGCCGTACGTGCCCTTCTCATTAACGTCCGCTCCCGTTTCAAGTTGACTCCCAGATACGGCCCGCAAACGAGTCGGCAGCCAGCTTGGTAATTCCAGGCATGGTATCGCTACGGTCGGACCCGACCTCGTGTGAAGATTGCGAGCTAATGGCCGAATCAAGTGAAGTGTTTATTTCGTCGAGTTGGGAGCGCTGCGAGAATGCTTTGACAACGGGCTGCTCCAGCCACTCGAGTTTTTTAAGTCCGGTTTGCTACTCCCGATTCTTCACTTCAATCCATTTTTCGTTAATTGCGTCAGATGCGCGTCTTCGAAGGACCAACCGGGCATATTTTAAGCCTGCTAAGGCAATCGCACTCAAGCCGGGGACACACGATATCAATCGTGTTGTGCACGTCGGAGCCCGGACCGGAGTCGCCACGATCACTGCTGAGATCAACTGCTGAGATCACTGCTGAGATCACTGCAGTATCCACGCACGTTTGAGTCCGTGTCGCTACCACCACCGTCTTCGCCGCCCCCTGTCCTGATTGGGGCCAGAAGCAGGGCAACAGATATTAAATGCTTCTTGATGTGAGCGATTAAAGCTTCCAAAGCCTAAGAGGATTGCCGGTCGGGGAACCGTCTCTTAATGCCCTCAGGGAAACCACCGCAGAACGGACAAGACTGGAGACCTTCTTGTTTTCGAACCATGCCATGCTTGACGAAGGCAGGTCTGGAGGCATCAGAGGCTGCGTGGTTATAGTGATCCCGAAGATGGTTGTTGAGCTTTCCCGGACTGGAAAAGGAAACAGCGGCCTGTGGTCCACAGTGCCAGCATCGCCGTGTCCGTTGGGAGTGTCTGTTCTTTAAATGAGCAAGCCAGTCACTGCACGTGTCTGCACGTACGAAGGGCGAGGAGCAGTCTTCGAACACGCAGAAAAATGGCTCAAAGTCGCGGATCAAGTGGTTCCTGGCCGATAATAGGTTAATTAATATCTATGCTAGGTGCGCTCTGTACCTTGTTTGCAAAAACTTACCTCCACTGATGTTTTTCAAGCCTTTTGGTGCCTTGCCTGCTTTCTTCCCTGGCATTCGGGCGTGCTACCGGTGAGTCGTGATGGCTGTGCCCTGCTCCTCGGATGGGGAAAACGAGGAAGCAGTATGGACATGTGAACGAGAGCCCTCCTGGATCTAGATCTGGCATCTTGGGAAACTCGCCGTGGGAGACTTGAATAGACGAGACAGATTCGGGCCGTTCCGCTTTAAACCAATCAGCTGTGCGCAGTTCTTCTGGGTCGAGGGCTGTGACTTCAGTGCTCGACAGGATGATGCTGGGCTGAACACGGGAGTGGGACAAATCCATGTTAGCCCGTTGCGGCTCCAACTGGCCGACGTATTCTGTGGCATATTTTCCCCTACTTTCGTGTTGTTGTTGCTGCTTCGACAGTAGATCTAGGGCCGGCTGGTTCCGTGTAGAAATACTCGTCTGACGGCGCTCTAGATACAGGAAACGATCTGTCCCTCTTCCTATTTTCCTTTTTTTTATATCCTTTTTCTTCTGCTTTTTAATTTCCTTGTTATTTATTTATTTTTCATTATCTTTTAATTCTTTAGCCATTTCTCTACGTTTTATTTTATCCCCACATTCATCTAACAGGATAAATTGTCAACGCCAACTCTTTTGTTCGTTATAAGCAACGTCGAACCCAAGATACGCCCGCGTATGGCCGTCTGGGCGAAAGACCTGTGGCGACTCCGACCTGGTATTGAGGAATCCCGTTCCGTGTCGACGCAGCTCAGAGAGACGGAGTTGGTATCTTTCAGGGAGCTACTCCTTGAGCAGTCATCCAATGGAGGTGGTCAATCATCGAAAAGATCACCTGGACTTGCCCCCTGGAGGCCGAAAGATCCCCACTAGCGATAGCATCTGCTTCCTTCGACCACCCAAGCGCACACCGCTGGAAATCACCAAGCCATACCTCACAGTCAGCAGCGCTCCCCGGACTTGGAAGTCCCAACAGCAGTCATCTTCGGGATGGAATCAGCCCCACCGCTTTCCGAACATTCTAGCCCTTTAAATACTCTTGTTCGAAATTGAACGAGGTACCCCAACCAAGCCCGACTCATCCCAAGCCCCATGCGTGGAAGCCATTGCGGAGTTCGATTACTGGACCAAGTTGTCGAGTCTATCAGAAAGGCGGACAGTTCCAGAGGGCCTTCGTCATGCAGTCGCAGATGTACCAGCCGAAGCAATTCAAGACCCACAATCTCGACAAAAGCAACATTCGAGACCACGATGTCTGGAGATACATCTTTGATCGGGTACTTTATCCGCTTGAGAATGCCCTCCTGACGGCATATGGGATCAGTCCGTACATGCTCCATGTGGGTCCAGAGCAGCAGAGCAATGCAGTCGCCCAGCTGTCGGGCTCTTTTGATGGTGAAGAGAGCGGCGAAGTTGACGATTACCAGTGAGCGCTCCCCTAAATTCGTCTGCTGTGTTTCAAGGTCTCCGCTAACAGAAGTACGCGTAGCCGAGTCGCAACAGAGGAACGGACGGAGAATTTGGAGGGCGTGCATGACCTCGTGTACGAGTGTTAGCAACGATGTGAGGAGCTCGCTCAACGTGGTGGATCGGATCGAGGGACAGAACGCGTCAAGATCGCAGTGTTGGACACCGGACTACAACTTCCCAGACACCTTCACGCACTCTATCAGGACCAGGGGAGAATCCTCACCAAGTAGTCAAAAAGCTTTGTGGGCAAACCTGACAGCGTGGCCTCTCAGCACAACTAGGACTGGGACTGCGACTGCGACGGTCATGGCTCTCGCGTGGGCGAGATTGTTCTCTGATGTGCACCTTGTGCCGACCTGCCCGTCGCAAAGGTGTTCCAGACTAGACGGGACCTGACGAATCCTGATTTGGCCGACCAAGTTCGCAGGGGAATCGCCGAGGTACGCCGTCTTTTGCAGCATATTCTTCACAATCCACTACGCATAACAGATCAAGCACTTACCGATCACCCCAGGCCATTGATGTAGCAACAAATACCTGGAAGGCCGACGTGATTGTTATGTGCTTTGGGTTCGTCGCCTGATCAAGGACCCCAAGGACCCGGAAAGCACGATCGCAGGGAGCAGCGACGTGCCGGTCCCGCCCCCAAAGGTCTACGAGAGCTCAAAGGCCGACTGAACCACAGCTTCCTGCTAGGCACAGCAGTGGTGTCCGTCGGGTATTATTCGCTCCTATAGCCGTCTGCATGTTGGTGGGAATACAGTCACGTAGTCTGCAATTGACTTGCCAATGCAGCCCGCCCTCCCGTTCCATGGCTTGCTCGCTTGTTTCCTCGGTAAAATGTTTCGTATTGTATCCACAAAACGAGAGCATGTTGCTGTCACGAGTCCTTTTGCTTGATTCCAGTGGTATAGTGATACCAGGGGAACCCGAACAAAAACCTTTCCCATAAATACGAAAAATCAAGCAGAATAAGCCCTAGTATTCTCCCATCTCGACCGCCAAATGACCAGAGCGCTGAGCCGCAGCCTCGCACTATAATCGTAGTTCCTTGTCCTTAGAGGGTGGCTCTTCCTCGAGAAACCCCTGAGCGATTCAAGAAGCAACAAATGCCAGCCTAGTAGCAAGTAGCAAAACTAAAAGAGTTCCCTCTTGAACTAGAAGCCGTTCAGGATCTGTCAGTCACATCTCCGCAATCTCTCGAGCCGTTCCGTCAGGTCTCTCGGAAGAGGCAAGCACGTAGTCGTTCTAGCCCTCTAAACGCCAAGCGGGAATCGGCCATACGTGCGCCAAGCGCGACTAGCTGCCGTGTGGCGCAGGCACAGCGTTCTAGTGTCTGGTGTCTGGTGACCTCAAGTGGGCGGAAACAAGCTCTTTCTACATACAAGCCTTGTTTTCAGCTGGCCTTGCTGGCTTCTTGGCATCAATGGCCGGGGTGCGGCTGTGAATGCTACTCGGAGGTGAGAACGAGGCTGATTGAGAGCAAGCTATAATAGACCAGAGGCGGGCACTTGCACAGGAAAGGGCGCATGATAAAACATGTTGACAAAATAGAGACCTTTGCGCGGCTGTTTCAGAACCCTCCCCTGATCTCGTCTCCGCCTATAATCTCGACATAGACAGCTTTTCTCGGTCGACGGAGATCGCAGCAGGCGGCGGAGTCCGCAGCGTGATTACATAGGCCACCAGACATGACCCCACATCAAGCGAACAGAAAAAAAAAGGGGTGGCACCAGTCCAGCGTCGTTGCTGTTTAATCTATCTTACCCAAAGCATCGGGATCGAGACCATCAGAAAGTACAAGCCCCACCCCAGGTGTAACCCCAGCCCAGCCCAGAGATGCTGCATCCAACTGTTGGGCTTCATTGCCAGTAGTTGCGTACACTGTGCCACATGCCCGTTAGATTTACCTGCATCACATCTTGTATCTTGTAGCGAGCAGGTATCTACTGCCAACAATATCCACGCCACCCGGTTAAAAGCATGCGACGATGGCGGCCCTGGCCGTTGGGCTAGGTTGTGACGTATGTGGGAGCTACCCCTCGACCGAAATCTAGCTCCTTCCGCCCTCGGGCATAAGTTCGTTCTTTTTTCTCTGCCATTTCCGCCGCCGATCTTTTCTCGGGCCCATACCTGCAGGTCACCGCACTGCTCCAGCAAAGGCGCCATGTAGTTGGCCTATCCACGATGAGCACACGATGCAAGCCTGCTTAGCATGTTGAGAGGCGGAGCAGATATGGATGGTGTCAACTACCATAGATGCTGGGTCCCAATCCATTCAAATCCCAACGAGATGACGTCCTAGCTATTGATCAGAATTGTGGCTTGGGTTCATGTGAATATGTTTCACTCTGCTCTCTTCTTCCTCAACTTATCCATTCCCGATCCGTCGCCTGGATTCTAAGGGCGTTTCTGACTATTATTCATGATTCATGATTTTGTCACCCACCAGACTGCATCGTCACGCTCGCTGGACGCGAGGAATGATTCAATCAATCACAATTCCCCGCTTCCCTGGCTGGGGAAGTCGGGCCACGCGCGTCAATGAAGCGAGAAGGATTGGGGTCTGTGCTTCCCCACATTTGGCGGTTGATGGGGAGCGGGAGCGGGGCCGACCATTCCTCAGCCCCAAAATTATTGAGAAGGAGAGATGCACCTTGGTTGGATGCCACGTTCCCGGAAAGCAACAGCGACCGCACTCCAGAAACAGAAGGATGCAGTAGATAAAACGGTCAAGACTGCGAAACATCTACCCATCGAGTAATGCTGCCTCACCTTCGCCTGGGAGGACCGAGATGGACTGAGAGCCTGTCTGATCCGGATTATATCTCCGTGACCTGGGATTGGGCCGATCCTAGTGTGCGCCTGGTCTACCAGAAATTGAACCGGCGGGTGTGGAGCGCGGCCACTCGATGCTTCCATTCTATCGGCTTGTCTCTCACCTATCAGCGGCCATGCCCCCGAGGGTTCACCGCACCCCAAAGAGCCCGCCCGGGGCCGCACGCGACAGGATCGATCTGCATACAGTCGAGCAAATATGCAGCACTAATGTATGTGCACTCCATGTGCCATCGCTTACGACCCAATGGTTGTTGGCGGGTAATACACACCCATCAGGTGGCTTGGCAGGATCCATGACACCCAGAGGGGCAGGTCAACTCGCACAACCTAGCGCTAGCTCCCGGCCGTCAACTCAATTGACCTGCGCTTCATGACCAGATGGCGAACTCTGCGCCGAGACCAGAGGGGTGCCTCCATTTCCGTGTCTCCTTCTGGCGCACCAGACTTGGCCATGGCACAATACACGCGCGCCTGTCTGTCTGTTGTACCGACAGTGTTGCTACTCACGGTGCCTAACCGTGCTGTCTGCACCCACAAAATACAAGTGGCAAGGCGAGGTGTGGTAGCGCCTACCCCAAAGAATAGCGACATCAGCTGCGCATTCGCTACGACGGGCCAGCCTCCGCTCGCACGGTAAGGTAACCCCACCCCAGCCAGCACCAGGGTCTGGTCGTCAGCACATCAGTCGCATCCACACCCTAAAACATCCTGGGGGGCCCCAGGTGGTGTGGAAGCCAGCAGGGCCTCGGGGGCCGGAGAGCCAGGCAGGGATCGAATAACCCACCACCGGAACCAGCCCTGCCCCGAACGTTGCGCACCCTCGGGGCCATGGCCGTGGCCGTCTTAATACCTCGTCTTCTCCGCCGCTCCGCTCCATCTCTTTCCCTCAGCTCCCTCTGCAGCGAACGCCGCCCCTGTGCGCCCCTGGTCGTCCCTGAAGTGTTCGTCCTAGCCTCGCAGTCTTTCGGATCGCGTTACTCGATCGCCCGTCAACCACTCGTCCCAGGCGCGAGGATAAGAGCAATTGGTCTGGTTTTCAATGAGCCGCACCCGAACTTAATCCCGCCACGCGATCCCTGTCTTGTGCCCGCCGACCACCTCTCGAACCCAGCCTTGGCGGAACCGTGAGGCTGTCCATTCGCCAAGCGAGCCGAAGCGAACCCTCAGTCTCCTTTCGTTTTCTAGAAATCGCTCCTTCGCTGTCACCTTTTTCGACACACACCCGCCTTTTAATCTGTTTGCCTTGCCCCCTTTCTTACCTCTCCTCATCTTTGCCTCATTCCCTTTGGCTCCCCGGCCTTCTTCACTGCGACCCTCCCACGACCTTGACTCGACCCTGCACTGCGGTCGCACAGCGGCGGAAGCGCCGCTACCTGCGTGTCCTGGACGCCGTCGTCATAATCAACAGCGCCATCTCCCTCGCGGCCGAGCTTTGCGAATGCGCGCGCCGCACCACCGTTCGCCATCCACCTGTGCGCCCCTCCCGAGGCAGATTCCCGAAACAGGCCATAATTCCAACCCAATCCCGACCTCGACCCCTTGCCATACAAAATGGCGGGCTTCTTTAAGCATCTAAAATCCGGCGCAGTAGGTATTCTCGTTCCGCCCGTCGCATGGCTGCGCTTGAGCGACAGGCGCGAGAGAGCCCGACTTCTTTCAAGCTCTTGAGCGTCTTTGATCACTGCTAACTTTGGCTACCTCTCCAAGGGCTCGTCGGGATCCTCGGCTAATGCCGCGGCAGGCAAGAAGAAGGAGGAGCCGGCTCCGGAGCTGACGCCTCTAGAGAAGATGCTGCAAAACGCCGGGCCTCTCCGCGAGGATGGAAGCGACAAGTTCTTCGGCCTAGAAAACGTATGGCCCACACACGCGTATACGCCTGCCCATGGAGGCTCTCACTTGCCACTTCTCTGCTAACCACCGTATCTTGGCAAATAGTTTGGAAACACATGGTGCCGGCCCTCCTCACCCCAGTTCCGACCTCCTCGTTGAGCCCCAAACTGACTTGCGTGCCCCAAAGTTACTGCAACTCGATCGTACAAGCATTATACTACTCCGAGACCTTCAGAGAGAACGTCGTCAACTACCCGCCATTCTCGCCCTCCGATACCCCGAATGGCAAGCGCGCCAAGGTCAACGTGCAAATACGACCGCCTGCAGCCGCCAACGAAGACCAGCCGCCCGCAGGCAAGAAGCTGACAGCCGCGCAGGCCCTCGAGCAGAGGAAAAAGATAAACGCGGGCCAGGGACTGCCATTGCGACCCGAGGACAAGCCCGACTCGCCTGAGTACAAGAAGAAGCAGGCGATGCTGAAGGGGCCCGTCCTGGAGCTGGCACAGGAAAACTCGACTGCGTACGGGATGCAAGAGAGCACATTTACCGGCCTCAAGGATTTGTTCATGGCCCTCATCGAGAGCCAGACCAGGACCGGCGTCCTGAGTCCGCAGCGCTTCCTCGAGATCTTCAAGCGCGACAACGAGATGTTCCGCAACTCGATGCATCAAGATGCACACGAATTCTACGGCCTCGTGCTGAACGACGTCATTTCCAACGTCGAGGCCAACGCCAAGAAGCTTCGGGAGCTGGACGAGGCACGAGCCAAAGACGCCCTGGCGCAGTCGGTAGAAAAGGCCCTCGGCGCCTCTGTCAGCGCTTTGGCGCGACCGCAACCAGGGGCCAGGTCACCCGGCACGGGATGGGTCCACGACATCTTCGAGGGCCTGCTAACATCGGAGACCAAGTGCCTCACCTGTGAAACCGCCTCTCAGAGGGACGAGACGTTCCTAGATCTGTCTATTGACCTAGAAGAGCATTCGTCCGTCACGGCCTGTCTCCAGAAATTCTCGGCTGAGGAGATGCTGTGCGAGCGGAACAAGTTCCACTGCGACCACTGCGGCGGGCTCCAGGAGGCTGAGAAGCGCATGAAGGTCAAGAGGCTCCCCAAGGTCCTCGCGCTGCACCTGAAGCGTTTCAAGTACACTGAGGATTACAGCCGGCTGCAGAAGTTATTTCACCGAGTCGTGTACCCTTACCAGCTCAGGATGTTCAACACCACAGAGGAGGCCGCAGACCCGGACCGAGTCTACGAGCTCTATGCCGTCGTGGTCCACATCGGCCCGAATGCGCTACATGGCCATTACGTTTCCGTCATCAAGACACCTGGTCGTGGCTGGCTGTTATTCGACGACGAGATGGTCGAGCCCGTTGACAAGCATTTTGTTCGCAACTTCTTCGGCGACAAGCCGGGGAACACAGCGTGCGCTTACGTGCTTTTTTACCAGGAGACGACGTTGGAGAAGGTCATGGCAGAGCAGGATGCCGAAGGGCTGGAGGAAATCAAGCTGGCAACACAAACAGCGGATCTCGCGACCGAGCAGGCCAACGGGACCGCAGTTCCGCTAACCAAACAGGTCACGGCGCCCATGCAGCCGGTCGAGGAACACGATGCGCTCGCTGCCCTGGATCACGCCATCACCGCGCCAAACGGCGCCATCGTCCCGCCTCCCGTTGTACCACCATCTACTCACCCGCTCGCGGCCGCCCCTCCACCTATGCCAGCTGCGGTCAAGCAGTCCAAGGAGGAGAAGGAACGGGAAAAGAAGGAGCAGAAGGCGCAAGAAAAGGCCAAAAAGATGGCCGAGAAAGAGCAGGCCAAGCTCGAGGAGAAGCAGAGGAAGGAGAGGGAACAGCGGCAGAAATCAGCACGCAAGAGCGAGCTCGACGACATGAGGAAAGCTCTACAGGCGAGCAAGCAGACAGCAGTTGAGGAAGAGGAAAAGCAGAAAAAAGAGAACGGAGCATCCTCTCTCAAGGACGTCAGCAACGGCAACGGCACAGCGAGCGGGAAGCTGGCCTCGAGTGCCGTCAGCGGACTCATTAATCGATCCAAGACTGTTGGAGGCATGTCTCGCAGGAGCTTTGCCTTTCTCAACAAGGACAAGGACAGGGCCGACAGCGGATCCTCGGAGCACGCCGCCTCCAATGGCACACCGTCGTCTCCGCACGCTGAGGGCCCTATCCCTGGGCCTGGGAGACTGAAAGAGAGGTTCAGCTTCAATATTGGAAGAAAGAAGAGTAGCAACCTGTTCTCATAACGGGATGCCGACATAAGTAGCCCCCGCTTTGCCTGCGACACTATGAAGACGGCCGAGCTGCGCTCACCACGATACGAACCGGCCGTTATTATCTTTTCTACACGCCACGTTGGCTTAATACGCATATATACATCCAGGTTCGGCCACGCTATCCCATTTCTTATCCCCAAGTACATATGTGCGGTCATATATATGGCCTGTACAAAGAATGTTGGGAGGGACTAGCGCTTGTTTTGATCTTGGGGGCGCGGTTTGTTGTTGGTTCATTCTCATGTCACGGAACGCATCCAGGAACCGCTAGATTCCAGTCTTGGGAAACGGCGAGGAGAAGGTCTGCATGTCGGCAATGTAGGCATCAAAAATAGACACAAACATATTATCCATGTCGCGCGATATCTTTGTCGATGTGCACGTGCTGGTGAATACCCTGAGTGCGCCTAACCAGCCCATGGCTCTGTTATTTGTCGTTTGCACGGCAGGAAGTGGACATTACAAATGACGGTTGGCGCGAGAACATGGGGTTGAAATAACAGCCGCCTTCAGTAGGTACCTAGCCATATATGGTAAAATCGCAGGAAACAGCCCCTGGCGCATGCATAGTCTCCAGCCGTAACGCCAAACCACAAAATGGGACGTATCCCAATGGCCGTCCATAAATCAAAAAGAGTAGACGGCCTAGTATATGCTATAGGTGTCTATTTATTCCACCCATATCGACTTCGCCATTCCACACACCCTCAGCCGAGGGGGCATGCCCGACTAGCCCAGGACGATCTCGTATATTATTATCAAGGTGTTGACGACGATCAGCGGTACTGCAGGATGGGCCGCGCATCGTCAGTGATTCTATCCATCGCTGTGCCTCCACGGCAAGTTTGACTGTGGCGAAGAGTGGGGGGATGCACACTTCTCATGAGCGTCCGGACGCTGGCGATCAGATTTACGGTGCGAGCCTTGACACTCGCCTCGGGGCTTTGGCCGAACGCTGGGTCGTACGAGGAAGGCGAGAAGTTGACTGAGGGGGGGAAGCGCAATATTAGTCTTGGTTGGTTCGAGGGCGGCCGCTTCGGGCTTTCAGGGGAGGTTTTTGTAGTGGTGGGCCGGTGTTTGGATCCAGATCGAACATACGGCGCGCGAGGAAGCGGTCTTCGGACAGGATGGCGATCGCATTGATGAGAAGGACGCTGACTATACAGATGCGCATGTTAGCCAAGCCGCTTTGTTCTGTTAGGGGGGGAAGACTTGCTGTAGAGGAAACTCCCGAGGATCATCATCTTGAAGGACTGGGGCTGTGTGCGGGAACCGGCGCGGCTTGCGCAAGCAAAAAGAAAACAGAGAAACAAGAATACAAGTCTACGTAGACAGGAACTGTACAGGACGCCTGTCTCGGGTGGGTGACGGGTAGGTGGTATCCTGGGATCGAGGGGGCAAGGCGGCGATGTCAGAAGCCCAGAAGCCACATGGCACAAGATGCCGATTCGTTGATGACGGCGCGGCGTGTCGTCTGGGGCAGTCGCAATGTGACCTTGCGCGCCTTCCATGTCCGCCCAGCCCCGGCTCCAGCCGCGACCGGTGGGGGTAGGCGGATTAACAGTTTATCCGGGCTTGAGCCGCCTGGGATGTGGGGCCTGCCTCGACCAAGCTCCAAGCTCCAAAGCTCCAGTGGGTGCTCTAGGCAAGTCTCCAGCGAATGCGGCAAGCTGCACAGCATTGGACCGCTGCTAGATGCAGGGGCGCTGTTCGATTGGACACCAGGTCAGCTACCACCAACTTGAATACCAATCACAGCGACGAGAGGACAAAGTCCAGTTAACCTCAAACCTCCAAACTTCTTTTGCCAGCCCCCAGGCTGCGCGTTTTGAGAGCCGGTCCCGGAATGCTGCCAAAGTAACTGCAAAATCAACTCTCAAGATGCGACTGCTTGGTATATTCCCTTTTCCGTCACTTTTCTCTCAGTCGCTTACCAGAGCGAGGGAGCCACGATGAGAGTCCGCAAACTGAACGCAAGCACCCCCACAGACGCATTCCTCTCCCTCCTGATACCAGGGCTGGTCCTAGTCCACCTGGCGGTGGCGCCCTACACCAAGGTGGAGGAGTCGTTCAACATGCAGGCCACGCACGATGTGCTCGTCTACGGCACGCCGACGGCCGACGTGCGAGCCAAGCTCGGCGGCAGCTACGACCACTTCGCCTTCCCCGGCGCCGTGCCGCGCACCTTTGTCGGCCCCGTCATCCTGGCCGGTGTCTCCCAGCCGCTGATCGCGCTGGCGGGCGGCTTCCGCCACGCCCAGCTGGTGGTGCGCGCCGTCCTGGGCCTGTTCAACACCCTAGCCATGCTCGCCTTCAAGGCCGCCCTCGGCCGCGCCTACGGAAAGTCGGTCGAGCGGTGGTACACCCTATTCCAGGCTAGCCAGTTCCACGTCATTTTCTACGCCTCCAGGACCCTGCCCAACATGTTCGCCTTTGGTCTGAGTAGGTCCATCTATCCCTGTCCACCCGTCATCCCGTGATGTAGCATGAGCAACATCCGGTTCTTGTTATGAAGGCGCGGCTCTGGTCTGACGAGGCATATCAGCTACCCTGGCCTTCACCAACCTCCTGCCTAGCCCCAACCCAAAGGCCATGGCTCCCCGCCAGCGTGTGTCCATCTCCCTCTTCGTGCTCGCGGCCATCATCTTCCGCTCCGAGGTGGCCCTGCTTCTCGCGACCAACGCGCTCTACCTCGTGGTCGCGCCGCTGGCGCCCCTGGAGAGGCTCATCTGGCCCTTTGCCATCTCGTCCGCCATGGCGCTGCTTGTCTCGGTGCCGCTGGACTCGTACTTCTGGCAGCGGCCGCTCTGGCCCGAGCTCTGGGGCTTCTACTACAACGCCGTGCTCGGCTCGTCCTCCAACTGGGGCGTCTCGCCCTGGCACTGGTACTTCACCTCAGCCCTGCCCCGGATCCTGCTCAACCCGCTGGCCCCCTTCCTGGCGGGCCTGGCGCTCCGCCAGCCCGGTACTAGCCGTGCCGCGCGCCTGCTCGTCTGGCCCAACGTCCTCTTTGTGGCCGTCTACTCGCTGCAGCCGCACAAGGAGGCCCGCTTCATCTTCTACGTCGCCCCGCCCCTGACGGCCGCCGCGGCGCTGGGGGCGGCCTTTGCGTGGGACCGCCGCGCCAGGGCGCCCGCGA